ATAATCGACAAATAAAGGTATTGGCAAAATAATCATTAGTTGCAGCCCTAATCTCTTCAATCTAAACCCTTTGCTACTAAAGCTTGGAGAAGAACCAATTAAATAACGAGTGCTCAAATATCCAGCCTTAAATTCTGCTTAATGTGTTGTTTAGTTTTGCCATTAAATTAAGGGGGAAAATTTGTTACTTAAATGTTTGAAATATGGTTCTGTAAAGCTATGATGCAGTTCATTCAAACTGAAGGGTTAAGTTAGCGCATAACTGGTTTCACCTCCGAAAAAGACTCCACGGAATCTAACTTTAAAATAATCAAACTGTCCCTGTTGGACTACACTACATGGACTACATGTACTGTGACATTCTTGTTGAATGAAACTACACAGTGTTTGCCAGCCAGACTTATATTAATCTCTTTGTTTCAGTTAGACCGTTGAGTTTTTTATCATTTAACAGGAAGGACAAGTAGCATGGAGTACTTGTTCAGACAGGATTTAACTTCCCTTCAACTATCAGTTTCTCTGTAACCAACAGACATTTATCAAAGTAAATTGTATGAATATAAGTAAAAAAAAAAAAGAAGATGAAAAAAGACTGGGTTAAAATTTAAGAATAAATCAGTACCATTTCCTAAGTGTAAAAAAAATACCTACAAATAAAAAGAACAAGAAATGTTCTCTTAAAATGTCAGCTCATCTTACCAACTTTGTCAGCTCATACTGTACTATGGACATGACATGATTACACCCAAGGGTTTGGCTTAACTGATTGTTCAAGAACTAGGCTTCAAGGCACTGCACCCAAAGAAGAAACACCCATCTCATAGGGAGGGGAAGCTGTCCAAAGACAATGTGCAGGATTTAAAAAAATATTTTTCTTACCACTCCTGCCTGGAAAAATACACTGTGCTCATAACTGTATAACAACCTCACCACTTAGTTGAGCAGCATAAATGCAAATACAGAAAAAAAAATTATCATTATTTTTTTATGTCATCCTTATAAATGATTTCAATCATGAAATTAGCTTTTCTTTTCATGTTAACAAAATAATAAACATAACTAAACAAGGGCTGCACAATAATCTAAATTTAGTTTTTATTGTAAAATTCTATGCAAAACCCACATGGTACTACACAAACTCATTATTGGGGATCACACAACTCATGCTTTTTAAAACATATTGCACATCCTTTAAAACTCTTTTTCTTTTTCAGTCCCTGAAAATACTTTTTTAACCCAGCAAATAAGAAGCACATATGTAGATCAAGACTTATCAGCCTTACTTAAAAAGGTGCGGTCTCTTCTAAACTCCCTGTTAAGAACAGTGCCTCAGAGATGCAGATCTCTCTTGCACTTTTATTTTTGTATACGTTAAGGAACAAATGGAGTCCTGATTACAAATTAAATATCCTTCAATCAAATCAAGAGGAAAATAGATATTTTTAAAAACTTTATTCCTTGAATTGCATTCATTCTACAGAAATTTTCAGAGGTCAAAAGCAAAGTTGGCAAATGTGTTTTTATACTTATTTTCATGGAGAATCATAAAGATCATATGGATTTCTATGAGTGAGGAAAGTAAATAGTAGCAGTGTGCATAAAGTGCCTTAACATAGAGTTGTTTATCTTAAAACCTTTTACAGAGTATAATAATTCTCTGTAAATCTGTGCATGAAATAGATATATCTTATGCTTAGACAGCTCATGTAGCACAGCCAGTCAGTTCTGAGGGTTAAACAGTACATGAACAGTACCTGCTCAGGTTGGCTTAGAAAGGTCTCCCTCCCTGAAAGTGTTGCAGTGAGGACTTGGATTGATTGCTGCAGAACTCTGTCCTTCACTCTCAGTTCACTTTCAAGCTCTTGGAGGACAATCAATCCACTCTAGATTAAAAACAACATTTGACAAGGAGACGTCTTAACACAATATATAACAAAACATAATTAAAACTCATTTAAATGAACTTCTTTTTAACAGAGGAAACGGTTTCTAAATGTACAG